ACCCTCGGTAGACGCGAGCACTTTATTATTTTATTGTTGAACTTAAGCTGTTTATTTGTTTTCTTTCTCTGCTGGCCTGGGTGAGGCGATGGAACTTATTTCTGCAGTGGCACCGGCGCTGAGGCTGTGGCTGAGCGCGGTGGGGCAGGGAGGGGATGGAGAAAATCGTGTTTTGTTTGTGAAAAGAGAAATGACATCTGCCAGAAAATAACCACGGTTCTCAAAAAAAAAACAAAAAAAGCAAGACGTAAAACAACTTAGATAGGAGCAGTTGTCCCCGATGAGCTGAGATTTTTAGAACCAACACAAATTCTCTGAAAGAATGCATTTATTTGCACTTACTGTTACCTTTAAAACCTTATGCTCTGCAAATTTAAAGCGATGGGGTGTGAATTTAATAATATAGTTAATTTGTTGTTTAAGAAATTATTATATTACTTTATTCTTATAAGGCATTTGTCTCTGAGGTCAATGTGGGAATTTTTCTGTTTTACTAGAAATATGAACCTCCAAATCTTTTTACCATTTTATATGTCTTATGCAATAAACAAAGCTGCTCTTAAAATGCCAGTAAGGGGCTGACTGCCAGAGAGCATGGCTGCATCTTGCACCTTTAAAAGTACGATTTTTGTGGTATAAATATCTCAGCTCTGAGACTGGAACAATCTAGAGCAGCAAATGTGAAGATGAGCTGCTGTGAATTCTTTTAAGAGGGTTGGGGTTTTTTGTCAGGGTGGATATTTCGATCCATGTTTGTACCTCTTTTCAGCCCTGACAGATTTAGCTGTGTCAGCAGTCGTGCTTAGAGGTGGGCCTGACCTTGCAATCGCTTGAATAAGTGCCTGCCAGTTTCTTCAGACTTTTCTCTCACGTCTGCTCCACCCTCCTTAGAACTGGAGAGTTCTTCTCCGCTCGCTTCTTCCTCCTCGTGTTTTAAATATGAAGGCCGTGCTTTATTTTTCCATCTGGTTCTTGCAGTTAGGGGGCACCATTGACAGTTCTGACCTGTCTGGCTCCGTGTGGGAGGTGTTGATTTTGGGAAAATGTGCTTTAAGCTGCCGAGAAAACTCCCTGGTTTTTAGGACTTCTTTTTTGTTGCCCTGTTAAATGTAGCTGCTGATCTAGATCACTCATTTCTCCTGACGGGTGCTGCATAATTCTGTAGAACTGCAGTCAGCTCCTGGGCTTTTTTTATGCTACTTTAGAGGCTTCATGTGGGCTTGGTGCTAAGGAGTTGACTCTGACCTCAAATTCTTTGATAGACAATCTGTCAGCTTGGAAATTCCAGGAGAGTGGAAGAAAGAGGATACAGTGCCGCTGCACGGTGTCTTTTCATGCACCTATATCGGCATTTCAGCTGCTTGCTCCTCTCTTTTATAGCTGTTAGGTGCCTGGAATCGAAGGGGGTGGTTTTTATTGGGTTCTTACGATTTATGCCTTCTTTTCCAGGGGTTTGCCGCCGCCGCAACAGCAACAGATGCTGAGCTTACGGGCAACAAATCAGCCATCGCTGCTCAATGCCAATCCTATGCTTCAGCGGGCCTTACTCATGCAGCAGATGCAAGGTACTGTCGTTATGGGAAACGCTTACGGGAGTTATTTAATCATCCTCGTGGACTCAGACCACAGCATGGCTATTTCCTGCTGAACCAGGGCAGTTCTTGCACTTGGCAGTTCCGTTTGTTGCCTTTTTTTTCCCCCCCCCCTTTAAATTTGTCCGTAGTCCACATCACAGAGGTTCTTCAGTGCCCTGCTATTCACAACTGGGAATTGCATTAGAAGGTATCAGGTTAGATGCTAAATATGTACCTTCCCTCTTAAGACTTGATGGAGCAAGTATTTTTTCATCAACATGTTTAGATAAAATACTGAAGTTTTTATTATTTGTTTGTCTTGCTTGGTTGGAAGGTTAAAGCAGTTTATTTCATTATTTGTACACTAACCTTGTTTGCAGTAGATAGTTGTCTTGGTCCAAACTTGGTGGAGTACAAACAAATAAAGTATATTGTGGTGGAAAATGGTTCAGGTTTCAATTGTCTTATGAAATTTTGATTCACTGAAATGACTGTCATTTCTCTGGTGAATAATATCACTGTTCTTCCATCACTATGTTTCCACAAGTGGATTTTTCTTTGTTTTTTTCCATATGTATTTTCAAAGCAATGCCTTTATAATAGCATTGCTAATGTAAAGATAATAGGAATAAAGCTATGTTTTTATTTTTTGCTCATGTCTGAACCTGACAGCTCTTTTCAATACAGAAAATCAGTACCTGAGATAAGTTTTCAGGTGCCTAGTCTAGATTAATGCTTGCAATTTCTATCTTGCCTGTGAATCATGCCCAGATGTGAAGACAAAAGATTTATTCTGCATGTCGCTAACTCTTCTTTTGTTCTCTCTTGCCCATTTAAAGAGAGGGCTCTCTAGTGACTCCAGTGGCTCTCCACAGATCTCTCTCAGGTTGTAGGGAAAGTGGCAGTGAGAAAGGACAAGCCACACTCTGAAGATTGGAGTCTTTATATTTGTTGTTAGGGGAAAGCCTGACTCCACTCCAGTCAGCCTCACTCCTTGCAGATATGTTTGATGTCAGCACAGGCTGGCCTTTTCCATGAAGCAAAATCTTTTATTGAGAAATTGTATTTAAATAATGTGCCGAGGGCCTGAGGCTAATTAGAGCAGGATAAGGTATGTTAATGAACACTTTTAAGTGCACTTTGTTGCTTTGTCTTAGTATTTTTCCTTTTCTTTTCACCTCTACATGCCAGAGTTGTGACTTCTCTTTCAATAACCTACACCAGGTAGCCACAGGTAACATGCAATATGGTTGCCAATGTCTTAACGTGGCCTTACTTAGGGATATGAATATTTTTGGTTATTCAGGTTTTGGTTACATGTAAGAATATCTGATGCTGTTAGCATTTCTGTCCCTGGGAAACATCAGCATAAATAATTCATTGGCTGCGTGTGGCTTCAGCAGTGGGAATAGGAAAAGATAAATACTTCAAGTTGAAATGGATGTGTGGTTCTTCAAAGGTACCAAAGCAAGAGCAGAAGATGATTTCTTGTCTTACAGATTTTTTTTAATATAGCTATGTCCTTTTACAGTAAGGGATTGTTTATGGGAAGTAATAATAGATTAGATTACTTTTGAAGACAAACATGGGGACTACTTCCTATTGTGTTGCAGGCTTTTAAGAGAAAGCTTGGTTTCTTTCACATTTTGGGTGCCTGTCTCTAGACTTTGCTGCCCTGTTTTGACAGCTGCTAAAAAGCTGGAGTATTCACTAATTCAAGTGAGAGAGAAAAAACAGCAATTGAAGTCCAGATTCCCAGAATGATGGACAGCTCCTGAGGGTGTAGCAGAGGCATCTGGGCCCTTCCATTCCCTCACTCCTGAAATGGGGATGGCAAGGACTGTCTTCGTAAGAAGACTTAGTTAATAGTCTGTGGATGCTGAAAAGAACTATTCAGAAAGCAGAGCATTATAATTGGAAATGGCAGAGTCTCGGGTGTCAGAGTTGAGGTTGACATGTTGAGCTTGCATGACAACCAGGTGGCAGAGAGGACTGTGGGATCTCTTGTTTGAGAAGTCCAGTGTTGTTTTAAATGAAACACTGTTCCTTGCTTATGCTAAACAGCAGCCATGCTATGGTGTGAGCTGTCAGCTGCAGAAATGTGGGGTGAATTTTCCTTTTTTTTACAGAGAGTTTTTGCAAAGCGAGACCTTGTTTGTTGCAAGCGTTAGTGTGCTCAGATCAGATAATTGCTGTAATGATCTTAGCCTGCAGTGACAATTATAATTAAATAGCCTGATCCATAGTAATGGTTGTTATCACATCAAATCATTGTGTGTGCTGAAAAGGGTAGAGCATAGAGCACCCATACAGTGCCCAGCAGAGCCCAGGGCAGAGGAACCCTTCCCCTCTCTGCTTGCTGCTTGTGCAGGTGGAATATTTTCCCTTTGCACGGCTCAGGGTGGTGACACGCTCTGTGTTTGCCTCTGTAGGAAACCTGCGTGGATTTAACATGACAGCGCCAGCACTGCAGCAGTTCTTCCCTCAGGCTACACGACATTCCCTCCTGGGACCACCACCTGTGGGGGTCTCCTTAAAGCCAACTCGACTGGGCTTCCCCAGCCTTCCCTTCCAGCGGCAGAACCGGACCTTTCGCAAGGTGGGCTTGTGGTTTGCAACTGCTGGAGAGATTTGTGCTCCTTTTGTACTTGCAGCTGTTGACATTGTTGTAGGCGGAGTACAAAGGAGAGGGGAGAGAGCCTTACAAAGAAAATGATGTTTTGCACCATGCTGCTGACACAGAAATGCAGAAATAATTCCATCTCGAAGGCTTTTGTGGTCCATGTTTACATTTCTGATGTAAAGGTTTCTTGTCACTGCTTGCCCAAGAGAGAGAATTCCTCATAGCAGAACTGTTTAAACCTGAGATATAAAGGGAGCCTTAAGAAGTACCAGCTTCAAAGTAATTACAACAGAAGAAATCCTGGCTGAGTGCTTTGCTCTTCCAAAGCAGTTTGTTGTTCCCAAATGACCTGCTCCTACCCTGGGCATTCTGCCTCTTTGGGCTGTTTTCCCTCTTTTTAAGATCAGGCTCCTATTTGTTCTTGTGGATTTTGTAAAAATCTACAATTTTTTTTGTTTTATAAAAACCTTTTTTACTTTCCACCATTACGACCTCTTTTGTATCCTGAAAATAGTTCTTGGGTTAATTAACTGCTACTTTCCTCCTCTTAGATTAGCTTTTGCATATTTCATCCCATCCTGTCAAAAAGATGTGGTGAATAAGGTGCACTTCCATTCTTGGACTGTCCTTTCTCCAGGGTCAAAAGAAGAGGGATTATTTTGGATTATTATTTTCCCTTCCCCTGCACCTCTTGCCAGAGTCCCTCTAACATGATCCTACTCTTTACAAGCAGCTGGATCTCCTACAGCAGCTGCTTAAGGCACTGGGGAGATGTCCTGGGCTGCCTGTGGAGCTGAAGTGCCTCGCTCTGTTTGACCATGTAAACTTGTCTGAAGCAGGGCAGTCCTTTGTAAACCATCTCTTCCTTTCCATTTCCACATATTGGAAATTCCTGTTCCTGCTCCACAGTAAAACTCTGGTGCCTTAGACAGGGTGTGTTAAGGACCAAGAACTGGCAGTGACTCTCTGTCCATTGCAGGACTTCCAGAGGGTCCCTGACAGGAAGCGGGAACTGGATCCTGGTTCTTCGTCCCAGACACAAGGTGATGAGAAAATGGAAATCCCAGAGGGAATGCAAGCAGGGTCAGAGCAGAACAATTCCTCACCATCCACAGGTAAGGAGGAGCCCATAGTAAAATAAATGCTTACAATTATTAGAAACTTCTCTTGACTAGTCCTGCAGCAAAGGCCAGAGATGATTTTAGGCTTAGTCAGCTAGATTTCTTTCTAATTGTAAATACTTAAACTGCCTGTGATAGCCCTCTGCTATGTGCTTCATGTACCACTTTTACCTGGATATTTTTGATTTTTTTTATGAGCCTGCTTCATCTCTCTTGCATGGAAGCCTCTCAGAAGTCACTTTGACAGCAAACCCCATTTAAGATGGGGGGAAAAAGAAAACTAGTTGGAAATTAGAGCTTCCACGTTGCCTTACCCATGCTGAACTCAACATCTCATGCAGCCAAACACATAAAGCAGAACCAATTGCAACCAGCATGCTGAGGAAAAGATGAGTTGAAAGAGTCCTTGTGCTCCAGTTATCAGAACAGAAACTACTGGCACTGAATGTCTTAAATGTTGGATACAACACAGATGTGGGAATGTCTTTTCTGACTGGAGAGTGCCCAATCTAAAACTGCAGGCATATGATAAGGTGGTGACCAGTGTATATGCAGTGGTGAAAACAACCTGATTAAGTGGTTGCTGTCAGGTAGATGTGCCACCTTGGCTTGTATTAATGTTCCCATGATCAGAGCTCTTGTCACTTATATATATACAGGACTGAGAGCCACTTAGTGGACATAAACATAGATTTCTTTTTTTTGACAACGCCTCATACAGTGACATTGCAATTAAATATCTGAGGTCATTATCTAACCTTGTCAGTGCAGTTCTCAAATTCAGAATAAGCAAGTGTTTAGAATTATTTGCTCTAACAGAGCCTTATGGCATTTGCCATTCAGTTATGGAACGTGCTCAAGGTGGCATGGTCTGCTTTGCTAAGGACATCTCCTTCTGTGTTCCTGCAGAGCCAAGAACTCCAACAGAGTCTGTGTTGAACACTGAGCCTGCAGCAAAAAGACTGAAGAGGTATTTATTGAATGGGGTATTGAGATAGTTCCTGAGCTTAGAATTATTGTCTGATTTTATTTTCTGATAATTAGGGCTGGACTGGACTGATGTCTAGTATATGAGAGGTATTTCAGATGCTTGTGAACAATTCAGAAAATCTCATGATGCTTGCTGAGTCTTGTAAGGTCTCTGCAAGAGGTGACCCAACTATGGGAATGAAAAATCAGGGATGCAGCTCATCTAAATGTGCAACAAAGCAGAGTTTGCTCGTGTGTTCTCCTGCCAGGATCCTTGTAAGAAGCAGAGATGTTCTTTTCTATTCTGGTATATTTCTTTAATTTTCTTCCTTAAATGTCAAAAAATCAAAATGAGCAGAGAGAGAAAGCTTTGGAATATGTTAGGTTACAGTAGGTGTAGGAGAGGGTAGTTTATTTTGAGGAATGATAAAGGGAATCAATACTCCCTAGTACCCAAGACTGTATCCATGAGTGCTGAGTTCTGTATCCCTTCTGCAAAGATTTTCTTCCCAGTACCTCTGTCTGTTGGGTAAAAATAGACAAAGGCAATCCTATTATCCCCCAGGGATGTGCAGCAGGCGGGCACGCTGGCCATGGCAGGCCCATCCCGGCACTCCCTGCATCCCAAGGGTGCAGGAAGGACAGACAGGGCTGCATTGCCATCTAGTGGGATGTGCCATCTGCACCTCTCAAGGCTGCTCCTCTCCCAGAACTGTCACCCTTAGCTGGTGCGGAGGGAGAAGAGGAGGGAGTGAATACAGATTTCTGGAGGCATTGATTTGAGACTTCTCCAACATATGTTAACGACGATGAGTCAGGACTCCTGGGTCCTCTTATCTTCCCTGTTAGCAATTCACCGCCTGCTTTTGGACAAGTTCCTTCACCTCGCTGTTTCCCATCTGTAGATTAGAGATTAATGGATAGCTTTGGGGAGAATATTCCAGGATTACATGATCAAGGTAATATCCAAACATCAAAGTAAAACATTAAAGAGTGATAAATATTGTGTGTGCAGGGACCACCGTGAGTTATGGACTCTGATTAGCAAGAAAGTGAATAAATTCAATTAAAGCTAGGTCGAATACATTTGAGTGTGTGCTTTGTTAATCTGTTTGCCAAAGCTAATTTAATTTTAATTACATTAATATTTAGCAGGGTATTAATCAAAGTCCTGTTACATGCACTGAAAAAAGAAGAATCAAGTCTGAGGAATGACAGCTCTCACTGCAGCAAGCCTGCTATTAGGAAAATCCTTTCCTAAGCAGCAGTTAGGGACTGCCAGATTTGATGCATATATTATGGCTGGTATTTACCTAGAATAGATCATTCCTTAGCTTTTTTTTTTTTTTAAGTGTTTCTTTTAACTTCCAATGAACAGATGATGGATCTCCGAAAAAAATAGTTTACTGTTCTCGTACTACCCTTCACAGATGACAAGGGCATTCTCCCCATCCGTGTCATAAACTTGTTTTGTGCTTCATTGTTCCATTTCCCTTTAGCCAGGAATACCAGCCTCCTTCTTCATTTCAGGTTTTTCCCACTTCTACCTTTGCTCCTATGTACCATCTGTATACCTGGAACAACATCCTCATTCCAGTGCAGAAAGCACTCGTCATCTTCAAACCCTCCTTGAACACCCACTTCTAGCATGGCATGACAAGTATCCATAGAATACCATTTCCTCCTTAGATCACGCTCGTGGTGGCTTTTGCTCCCTTAGATTGCTCCTTAGATTTGCAGTTCAGGCTGCAAACCCTCACCCTGAGTGTGCTGGCACCATCTGCGTGTGGTACAGTTAGTGTTGAGCCTGCTGGCAGCACTTGACAAATAATGTTAATGCCAGCCACTCCTGTTGGATTCGTGTTTGCACTGCCCGAACCCTGCTGCATATTTATAGCCGTGTAACCCAGTTACATTATCACGTATCAATCTGATAAATTATGCCGGGGGGGTGTTTGGATAACAGGATGCAGTACCTGCCTCTTGCTTGTGCAGAAGGTGCTGCTCCCTGTTGGCAGAAGGACACCAGCAGGTGGGAATTCGAGCCGCCCTCAGAGCAGATAGTCAAGCCACGGTGAAAAGTGTTAGTCCTGATGGAAAAATGGGGGAAGGAGAAAGAGACTGCAAAGTACACTTCGTGCCCTCTGGGAGTCAAACATTTGTTGTCAGCAGTCCCCTCGGGAGCTTTTTTTCTCCTTAGCAGATCACCAATACCAAATAAAACAAAGCAAGGTCCTTTTGATTTGCATCTTGTACAGTTTTTGCTTCCCCCACAAACAGAACTGTAGGAACTCTGGAATGAAACGTGACTGCTATGAATAGAGCAGGCAGTTATGGTGAAATCCCTGTAAGGCACCATGGAGAACTCCTTCAGTTCTGTTCTGTCATGCACAGAGCAGCCAGGAGCGTGGTCCAGGTCACCAGTCATGACAGGACTGAGCTCTCAAAGCTCTCATTAAGAATATTTCTTGTATGAACTTATTTCCCTGCAGGCTTCTTGCAGGAGAGGGCTGTTAACCAAAAAATCAGTCGTAATCTTCTTGTCCAGATTATTTGGCTGCTGTTTCTGAATCTGTTCTAGAACACCCACTCTTCGTTGTTTTTATTTATTTCTGCCAAGTTCTTGCCTGAAATACCACTTCCAGTAGCTTATTGATTTGGGGGTTAGTGGAGAGTGTGGTAGCTTAGACCCAGCCTGTGCCTTGGTGTGCCTCCTGAATCTCTTGTCTGTAACATGGCAAATAAGGTTATTTTCTTGATATCCTTGAAGTGTGACCGAGGAGTCTGCGTTGGAGGATGCCACAGACAGCAAGAAAGCAGGAATCTCGAGCGCCCATGTCCAAGCTGATGGTGAGTTGCTGAACCCTGTCCTTTGCACTTTTAGGGCACTCCTTGCTGGAACTGCCTCTGTAGCTCCATTTCTCTGACACAAGAAATGTCCCTCCTCCAGTCATACAGGATGGGGAAAGGAGGATAGAATCTAGAAATCAAATCCAAATCTAGTCCCTCAAAATATATTACCTACCAAATGCACATGGTGGGAAATTTCCCTCTCGAATAAGGGATTTCTTTGGAGAAAGGTTTGTGAACTGGCTGATGGCCAGCAGCACTGTGAGGAAAGCTCCCTGACTTCACTCACCTGCTGCTTTGTTTTTTCTACCATTGCTGCTTTGATTTAAGGCAGCTAAAAGGACTCTCCCTTCTTAGGTGCAGACAGTGCAAAGGAGTACACAGCCGAAGAACTCTCTAGAGAGAGGAAATTCTCCGAGGAACCGAAGGCTCCTGAGGTGAGCAGACACCGCTCTGCGCAGGGGTGGTGCAGAACATACAACCTCCCCCTCCATCCTGGAGAAGCCCGTTGCCACTGGGAACCAGCTGGCACCCACGTCTGGAGCTCTGTCTCCTGCTGTAAGCTGTTGTCCCTGGCAATAAGGCATAATATGTCTGCAATTAGTGCGCAGTCTGCTCTGACTTGCTGCTTTTGTACCTCTGCTGGCCTGTTCCTCACCTGCTGCTGGCTGTGGATGGGAGGCTCATTAAGATTTCAGTATTCATCTGGAAAAATGGGAAGTTGAAAGAGTTACTTAAAAATATATGTATGGAGGGCCGTAGCTAAATACATCTTCCATGTTGCTGAAGAGCAGGTGTAAAAAAATTCAGGTGATGGTGTTAAAGATGCAACTTGAGAGCCTTTGCATGAAATATGTGGCCCACATGCTGGATGTTAAACCAGGACCTTATCCTGTGTAAATCTGTGAGCAGACAAAGATTTAACCTCAGGTGTGAATCAGACTTCCATAATTGGGAATGTTTGATGATGTGATCAAATGTATCATCCTGCCCATGTCTGAGTTCCTGACTCCATCAGGTCTTGGCTCGAGTTGCCTTTAGTTTTGCAGCGGAGAAACATGAGCTGATTATGTCCCTTACCAAGAATTGTTTGTAACTCCAGTCCCCAGAGACTGGGTCGTACAGTGACTTCAGAGGCTGCAGAAACAGCCATCTGTGCTGATGGTCCTGGTGCTCTGACACAGGGATCGCTGATCTGGTAGCTTTAGGAGGAGGAGTGTGCATGAGAGTCCTTCTGATCAGCCCCATGTGGGTTCAAGCTGAAATGCATTTTCCTAAAGAGTTGAGAGCTTAGGTGACATACAAAAAGCAGGTGTAACTTTTAATGTCTTCTGCTGAGAAATTGGACTTGATCTTGACTCCTTCTTTTGGCAGGTGTTGAGCTCTGGAGGTTCACTGAAGGTGACTATTCAGCAGAGCAGTGAGAGCAGAGCTATCAGTACAACAGCTCTGAAACCAGGGCACTGGGCCTGTGAGGTGGGCACAGCTGATCCCAACCCCGAATCGGTCCTTAAATTCTACTGTTACATCTGCAAGACCAACTGCTGCAGTCAGCAGGTAAAAATGCACAGATCTGACAGGGATCTGGGTGGTCAGGAGATGGGAATTAGATGGCTGGCTGCCGTGGGGAGGTGCAGCAGGAGACTTGTTAGCAAGGGCTCATGCTTCAGGAACAAGGAGCATAAAAAATGATGACAAGCATGCAGATAAAATAAACCTCTCCTGAGAGCTGGCAAGCAACCTGCTAGAGAGAGAATGTGGGTGGATCCACAGGCAACCATGCTCTTAAGCTTTTATGCTATTTCATTGTTAAACAGCAGTCAAAAGAAAGGAAAGCATAGCTCATACCCATTATTTTCTGTATTTTGAATACATTTAAATGGATTTTTCTCCTAACCTCTCTTTCAGAATTTCCAGTCCCACATGGCTGGAATTCAGCACCAGCAGCGACTTGGGGAGATTCAGCATATGAGCAATGTTTGTTTTGTTTCACTACTGCCCATGGTGAAGCAGCAGAAGGTGCTAGCAGAAAAAGATGGGTAGGTGTTGGTCTGCACCAGAAAACTCTGGTGGCCCTACATGGGTTCTAAAATCCCTCACAGCACCAGTTTGCCCCTGAGTTCTAGGTAAGGTATGAAATCCCTGTGGTTTCAGGGCTAACTCCTTCAGGCTGAAGGATACCAGAGTTGACTTTGACCTGTGTAGTTTTTAATACAGTAGATCAGGTTGGAGACTTTTTTTATCTGGTGCATTTCTGTCAGCACAAGCTAAAGCAACCTATAAATGTGTGGGAAGGGGAGAAGATAACTCGGAGGCCGTAAAGACAGGAATGGTGGGGAAAACAATGCCAAGGACAGATTGCAAACTGCAGTATTCCATGGAGAATGTAAAAAAGGTGTGACTTGGAGCTATATCTGTTGTCACTTCAGAGAGAGCCAGCAGCGGTGGTGTAACACGTGCCAGGTGCACTTCACAGGGGATCTCATCAAACATCGCAGGACCCAGGAACACAAGGTAACAGCCACAGCCTGGGTTTCATCTTTGCACTGACCTTTTGTGGGGATGGAGTGGAAGTGTCTAGCAGCTCCTGCTTCCCAAGCAGAAAAGAAAAAGTGATTGGGGTGTAGGGTTGCACATAAAGTTCTGCCAGTAACATCCTCCCTAAGGGCACTGTCATGTTATCTCCTACCTCTGATCGCTGGCAGTGCTGGAGCCTCCAGTTGCCATGATGTGTCAGTGTGGCCTGAAGCACCTCTAGTGTGTAACTGACTTTTCTCAATAAATATGGTTTATCATACCTAATCTATTGAATAGTGAGCAGCCTTTTCAAGCTAAAATTTAGGCATGTCAGCATATTTATTGGCTTCTAGGGGAGAAATTGTAAGACGCACTTAGTTTTGCTCTGCATGTGTTCCGTCCTTTTGGTGCATAAGACTTAGGGAGTCCTTTCTGCTGAAAACACTATTCTCTTTGTGGTCTCCCTGGTTTAGATGCAGGGCTGACTTTGTTTCACTCAAAATTCACCTGCATTCCTCCAAAGTAGTGCCTCTTGACTTATGGAAGTGTCCCTCTTTCCTCAGCTGGCCAAACGCTCGCTTCGTCCTTTCTGCACTGTCTGCAGCCGCCACTTCAAGACCCCTCGCAAGTTCGTGGAGCACATGAAGTCCCCTGAGCACAAACAGAAAGCCAAAGAGGTAACACTGCCTGGGTGGAGAGCTGTGCAGGTCTGGGGGCTGGTACCCTCACTACTGCAGGGCTGAAAGGAAGATGTGCAGTTCTTCCAGCCCTGTTTTAATTTTCATCTTTTGCTGGACTTCAGTTGTTAGAGCTTAAAAGAAACTGAGTGAAAAAGGGACAAGGAGTTAGATGTGTCTTGAAGCAAGATAGCTTTGTGCTCTGCTCATCAAATGCAATCAGTCCAGGGTCTGAGTTCTTCCTTGGTTAAATGGCAAGTGCAAAGTTGATCTTATCTTTCTTTTCCATACCTGACAGGTGAGGCTGGGAGAGAAGGAGTTGGGCAGCCCAGAAGATTCAGAGGAGTTGATCACTGTGGATGCTGTTGGCTGTTTTGAAGATGATGATGAGGAAGAGGAGGAGGAGGAAGGGGGAGCTGGTGAGGAGGAAGACCCTGATGTAGTACTGATGGAGAATGAGGATGCTGCTGCCAAGCAGGTAAGCCATGCAAAAGGAGAAGGAATGACCTATCTGAGAATCTGCTGTGGGATCCTGTGACTTAGTTGGTCTTGGCTGTTTGAGCTCAGGCTTTCAAAAGTCTGGTCAACTTTGCACTCTACAGCAGGAGAGTGAGGGCTCTAGGGTTCTTCCAGAGCACAGAATGATGCAAAAGAGATTCAGGCACTATGTGTGGGATGCAGGAGGGGCTTCTGCTGTGCTCCTGCTGCTGTCTTCAGCAGCTCTTGCTGCTATCTTCAAACATTACCTTGTTGCTGAGGAGCACAAGCAGACGTTGACATGGTCTGTTTGAATAGCCCAGCAGCAGCTGGGTCTCATAGCAAACATATATGTGGAGCTTTATCTCAATAAATATTGTCCCAGTTACCAAGAAGGAGGGACATGGCTAAGCTACTTCAGGCTTGGAGTGCAAGGGCTGATTTTTAACCCTTGTAGTGAAGTGGCTTGCTGACATTGGGGTTTGCATCTGGCCCTGACCAGGTGCTGTGCAACTCTGTCTCTGGTATGCTAATCCTCTTGTTTTGCTCCTGAGCTTACCAGAAAAATGCAAGAGCCCAGGAATGGAATTGCCACAGATACAGTAGGCACTAATGTTCTTTTGGTTTCCAGACTGGGCTGAAGGAAGTGTCTTTGGAGGATTACGAAGGAAGTGAGAAGTATTGTCCAGACACAGCCTATGGTAAGCAAGCAGAGTTAAGCACAAAGGCCCACAGAGCCTTCTCTGGCCACATGCTGTTTCTGTAAGAGAGGATGGTCTCTACCTACTGATATAATGACTTCTTGGGCCGTGGTGCTCCAGCAGCTGCACTGGACTGGTGCAGGTCACTGCTGCCTGGAGAAGAGACCAAATGTTGCTTTATTATTGTGTGATAAAACATAAGGATGTGATTGATGTTTGTCAGCTGCCTTTTGCTTTGAAGAAGAAAGGATGAGAGCCAGATACTTTTCTAAGGTAGGACATGGAACAAGTAGGGCAGGAGTACTGAAGAAAGTAGGTAGCAAATGAGGGATGCTCTGGAAAGATGGAGTCGGAAAGCATATCGATTGGAATGCTTTCCAGCAGAAATGCAGCTTGCACAGAGATACTGAGCAGCACTGACAGTATCAAACTCTCTGCTAGAGCCCAAACTGTGCATGTTTCCTCTGCTTCAGACCCCCCACGCTGCACCCAGCAGTTCCTCAGCGGTGCTGCTGCCCTGGTGGGCAGTGGTGCCTCCAGATGGCTGTGTCTGGTCCCCAGCCTTGTAAGTGACTGACTTCAAACCTCTGACCTCGCTGGTGTTGTGAGGAGGGCAGCTCTGCAGAGGCTGGTTTGTGCCCAAGGAGAGCTCTGTTTACACCGATCTCCCCTATCGCTGTAACCTTCCACTATCGTGTGGCAGATGGAATAATGATTCATGCTGTGAATGTTCTCTGCGTGTTCCTCTTGCGTGCCTGCTGTCTTCTGCTTGGTTTGATCCCATTACATTGGATCACATGTTCTCTGTAGTTTTCCATTGTATTCTTTTCTCCCTTTTTCCCCCCTTAACGCTCTGTGTAGTTTCTTTGCTCTGGCAGCCAGATTTCTCTCTGAATATCAACCACAGCCATTCCATGGTAAGAAGAGATATTCAGCAAGTCATCTTGCAAATCCCTGATTAACAGAAGCAAAGCTTTCCACTTTTCCTTTTCTACCCCCACTCCCCTTGCCCTTTTAACATGCTTTCATTATTTGAGTTCCATTCAATGTGATCTGTGATTTCCCTTCCCCTCCCGTTTCGCAGGCCTGGATTTTCTGGTCCCCGTCGCAGGTTACCTCTGCAGGCTGTGTCACAAATTCTACCATAGCGACTCCGCTGCCCGGCTCGCACACTGCAAGTCCCTGATGCATTTTGAGAACTTTCAGGTCAGACCCTTTGGCGATTGCATGGCCTGGCATTTGTTACCCCCGTGCGTGTCTCTCCAGCGAATCCACCACGTTATAGCTGTCCTGTCTCCAGCTCATTTCCATCATCCTTGGTGTCCACTGTGCCATAGTTCTCTCCTGGTGTGCTCTGTGTGTGTCTCCCATCGCCCCTGTAGATCTAAAACCAGTCCAGTCCTGCTTCCCAGCTACTGCTGCTGTCATCTTGTTGCCCGTTTCTGGCTGGGAATCTTCCTCAGAGTGTCTGCTCTGTTTGCTGAACCTGTGGAGTCTGTTGTTCAGTCTAGGCCTCTTCTGTTAGACCAGAGACAGATGGGTCAAGGTGGGTAAGAACAAAGGACAGAGGCTGTTCCTTGTAAAGAAAGCTGGTGCATCTTCTCCTGTGATATGCAGGAACAGCTCCTTTAGCCAAAATTGTGGGTGTGATTCATCCATGAAGAGGCCTGGTAAAATCAGATACTCAGCTTTAGAAGTCTGGAAATTTAACATTACAGACTCTTTATGTGATGGAATCTACACGCTGTGGGAGTCTGTTTGTCCCCAGGGTCAGCCTGCAAGAGGAAGTCTGTCTGTCTGTCTGTCTGCTACCCTTTCCTAGAAACTCCTTAGCACAAAGCTCTGCCAACTGATGCTGTTCCTTTGCTTTTCTGGCTCCACCTAAAGAAGTCCTATTGCCCCTTGCTGCTTTTGTATCTAAAGCTTTTCCTACTGGGCTGGCCTGGAATCTGCCTCCATCGTTCTGTCCTTGTTGACTTGCCAGGGGGTGAGGGGCCTGGATTAGTACCTTGTGGAGGGTACACAGGGCTTGCACAGTCTCTGCCCTCTCCTGTGACCACTGCCTGGGCCCTGCCTGTGTGGGAGAGCAGTATTTGCTGACCTTGGCAAGGAGGGAGGCTCCCACACCAACTTTGTCCTCTGCCTGCACCCACACTCTGCTCCCAAAAGCTGCTGGTTTTTCCTACAAGCTTATTAAATAGTGCCTAAGAAAAACCCAAACACACACACCCATTCCTGAACCCCCAAAAATTCATGTTTTTCTTGTAGTCTTCAGACAGAAGAAACTATTCCTAGTCAGCCCTCACTGCCTCCAGCAAGAGGTGGGGTGCTGCAGAAGCCAGCACTTAGAGCAGTGAATTTGGGATGGCAGGAGACCACAGCTGTTCCTTCATGGTTGCTCATCCTCTCCCACTCCTGCAGCTAGTCATTTCAGGAGTGAAGGAATCAGTCTTGAAGTTTTCCTGGCTTGTTTTAGATCAGCTTAGAGTGAAACTGCAGCAGCAGTCACTTATGTCACTCTTTTGGCCCACTTAGAGCTGAAATCAGATGCTCTTCAAATGGATGCCAGAGTGACCTGGAGGGATTTTTTATGAGAAGAGTTTAACCTTAAATACCTGCAACCAGATAACTATTGTTCCTGGGTGCCTCAGAGTTGCCACAGTCTGAGTTAAATCTTTGTCACTGTTGTATATTGGAGTATTCTCAGCAGAGTAGCTCAGCAGAAGGTTTCAAAGCAAAGAATTGTCTGCTGCTGGGGCAGTTCACAGCATCACTGAACATGAATTTGCATGCTTGTACCTGGTTTAGGTTGGGTACAACATTGACTCAACTGATCTAGTTCCAATGCAATAGGATATTGTGCATTTCCCACCATTTGAGGGCAGAGAAAGAACATGCCTGCAGTGATAAACTGAATTACAGGATAAAGCTGCCTGTCTGATGGGCTGTAATTCCACATTGCAGACTGGTAAAAGCCATTGGGCTCAAAATTGTTTCCTTAAACTGTCAGGTGTAATGGCCTGTGCCAGTTCAAGGAGCCCTTTAGGAGACAGCTGAAAGGGAGTTGATTGTGGAGGGAACTGCTGTGGAAAAGAGGGAGCTTTGGTTTGTTCCTTTAGCTCATGCTCTGGGTGTTGAAGACCAGGTTCCTGCTGTGTGTTAGCTAGAGAGAGTTGCTGTTTTCCTGAAATCTGGTCTAGAACATGGCTAGTAGCCATTTTAATCTCTTTACAGACCTCTACTGGTTCATCATGATAGCGAGTGCAAATAAGTAATTTTATTGATGATATGTTACCTTTATTCTGTGGAAAACCTCAGTGCCTTGTAACAAGATATTCTTGATATCTTAGTCTTCCTGTCAACAGTTCCACTGACTGTGCAGATTGTATCAACAGAGTGAAGAAATATTAAGCTTTCAACTTAAGTCTTGCTTTGGCTGATAAACATTAAATCTCACCTGTAGCTGAGGGTGGTGCAGAGCCTCATGTGCCCAGGGTACTGTCCTGGCAGTAGCTGAAGCAGGAGCTGTCACTTGCTCTGTTACATCTACAAAGTCCCGAGTCTGACTGAGATTAACAGTTGCCAGAACATGATTTTTGTCTCGGGAGCCACAGGTCTGCCACGCACTCGCTCAGCATTAAGTAATGTGAGAAGGACTTCAGTTTTTAATATCACCACTTTTCCTCACAGGAGCTGACCTTTCTCTGTTGAAAGCCTCAGCAGCCAGGCCAGGAGCTGCTGAGACCAGTCGTGCCCCTGCCACTCACCACTGTTTTTGTACAGGTGTTCCTGGACCAGCTGCTGCTTTGCTGCAGTGACAGGAGCTGAGCTGGGCTTCCCTCTCACGTTGGTTTGTTTGTATTTGCAGAGATACAAGGCAGCGAGGCATCGTGCCACAACTGCCTACCCCGAGGCTCCTTTGCATTCCCAGGGCTCCAGCTCCCAATTGCTGGATGATCCAAAACAGCCTCTTGCTACAACAGCACATACCAGCAAGAAGATGAATGATGATCGTGGGATAGACAAGGAGGGTACAGAGCTGTCAGCTCTGCAAGAACAAACTCCAAGGTCTCTGGAGGGTAAGGGTGAGCTGGCCACCTCTGGGGCAGAGGGCCAGAGCCTGGCCAGTGTGACTGACCATGTGTGTGGTATCATGGTTGTAGAAGAAGAAAATCTACAGGAAGAGAGCAAGTCCACTGCCACTAGTGCTGCCTGCGTGTTCCCCGAGGAGAGCCGCGCCACAGGGGAGCTGTTGGGACACGAGGAGGAAGCCAACGCAGCCAGGCAAAGGGAAGGCACAGATGACCACCAGGATCCAGGGAGTGGAGGAGGGTTAGGACAGAATGAGGCAGCAGATGCAGGCCAGGAGGCAGAGCCTTCCTCCCTCGCCAAAGGTGAGACAGCCGGTCTCACCTCTGGGTGCAGACGCTCTTCTAGGCGCAAACCCAGATAGAGTGGCCTTAAAGGAGAGCCCTTTACATATGATATTTGCTGGAAATGTTTATTTTCTGAGTCTTTTAATAGAGCAAAACCTTCAACTTTACTGCTGTTTTTATTTTAAGAATAAATAAGCCTGGCTTTAGCGTGTCTAATACAGGATGGTGTTGGTTATTACTTGTACAGTTGGGATACAGCAATTATGTGGAAAGACTGAGGCTTGGACTGTTGAACCTGAAAGAAGATGGTAATGTGATTTCCACAGGGGACAAAGTTCATGGAGTAGATGGATGCAGACTTAAGAATTCTTTGTAGTCCCTCTCATTTCCTTTCCAGGCAGAGAAATTTCTCTCTTGGGAGGCTGTATGCTCAGTTTTGCTTCTCAGAACAGTTTCCTTTCTAAGACACACACTCTTGGACAAGCACTGTGTCCTAAGCTAGGCAACAATGTGCACCTTGGTCCTTTGTTAGTACTACAAGGCCTAATCTAGTCTGTTCTCATAGTGGAGACTCTCAGGAACATATTTTGTTTCAAACTGATTTTAATAAAACAATTTCTTATAAATAACCTCTTTAACTTTCAAAAAAACCTCCTTTAACTTTACATAAGTAGAACAGTAAGACTTGCTTCAAAGTGCTGGCTCCAGGCCATCCTGACAAAATCACAAGTTAGACCAGATGGCTCATGCCTTGTCAGAATGTCCAGGGAACGCTCTGCTCACATCCCAGGGCAGGCAGGCCCCTGTCTCTGCTCTCTGTAGCTGATGCTGTGGTGGGAACTAACCAGGCTGCTCTGCCTCTCTCCACCCTGGAGTCTGGAACAGCCGGAGAAGCTGGGCAGCTCCCAGTAATAACAGCAAAAACATCACCCTGGTAGCTTATCTTATCTGCTTGGCAGGGAATGGAAGCAACCAGTGGTCTGGGACCATGTGCCAATATTTGGTACGTCACAGTTAATGTGACTAAGGGACAAGTTGTAGTTTCAAGGCAGGAGCTGGCCTAGAGCCTCCCTCCCCAAGGCTGTCACCAGAGTTAAGAGCTGGGACAAGCCTGGAGTCAGGACAGCCCCTGCCTACTGTGCTTTTTCTGAGGGAAGAGGCTAAAGCCATAATACTCCTTGCTTGGATTTAACAGTACAAGAGAGCAAAGATCATTTTTCCTCTTTGTGAAGAGGGCCTGCTTGCAAACTACCTGCATGGCATCAGATTTCCTACAACCAATTTTAACCAAGTGTGAGTGCCAGGGAGCAGAAAGAGCCAGCTCTCCTACACCCACCCATGTGCTTTGCACCTCTCACAGCTAAAGGAAAACAGAACATGGAGGTGAATGGCAGGACACAACCAGGGGAAGGAACAAGTAACAGGCACGAGGCACCTCTTCTATTCAAGTTTTACATTAAATTGGTGAGCAGTAAAAGTCCCTCAGCAACACTAGCTGAGAGTCTGTGGTCAAACACTAGGCAGAAGGCTGGGGGCCCTGTCCATCAGCTCCCATGTTCAGCTGCTCGTTCTGCTGCTGGAACTCCAGCCGGGCCTGGCGGTTGGACTCCAGCAGCTCCTTCAGGCAGGTGTGCAGATAATCATTCTTCTCCTCCAGGTGATCTAAGCAGGAGTTGATCTGGTCCAGCATGGAGTTTATTGCTGCATATTCTAAAAGGAAGAGAGACTGAACAGTGTAAGTGTGTTGTCACTGCAGGCAGCGAGAGCTCTGGCAAAACACGCCCACAGCGTTTGGGCTGTGCCTTATCTGCCCCCGGGGTGGGTGAGGTAAAGTACAACTGAATCCTGCATGGGTTGTGTTCTCTGATCAAACACAGCCAGGGGGAGGTTGGATCACTGGTAACAAGATCTAAGGCAAGGTACCTGGGCAGTCCAAAGCCACTGTGGGTATATCTGCCAGCCCTGGATCTCACACACCAACAGCTGACCATGGGCTCAGTGCTGACTGCAACAGTACCACAGAAATCCCAAGGACAAGTCAGCCTTTTTAGCTGCCTTTGGGATCATCTTTCCTGATGGTGCAGGCATTTTGGGAGCGTGCCACAGTGTTTACTCTCTGTGAATTTTCTGTGAAAGGCTCCCAGGCTGGGGTCAGGCTGACAAAACGTGGCTGTGGCAGGAGCAGGGATGAGCCCAAAGGTGCTGGTAGTGGCACTGTTACTCCTAAAGGGAGGTAAGTGTGGGGCACCAAGTTCAACCACAGGATTTCATGCACCATTAAGGCTTCGGGTACTTCAGGTTAAACCCAGACTCATTGACAGTCGGTTCCCCAGGTACAGTTTCTTATTCACAGCAGTTTCAAGTGCAGCAGTTTGCCTTGGTACAAGGGCATTTCACAGTGTTAACACTGTTAATCAGCTGAAGAGTGTTGTGCTACTGCACGAAACACCTGCTTTTGGATTGCTCCAAGCAATATTCACACAGTCCTAAAGAATAACAAACAAACTAAAAAAAGAGACAAGATAAACCTCTGCTGAGGTTACTCAGGAACCCCAGGGGGTTACAGGGACTCCACATGAAGCCAGTCCCATGTTTCTTTCTGAAGCCACACGGGCTGGGTGAGTGCAGGGAGGCTGTTGGGGAGCTGTGACCCATGGGCATGGAATATTTCTTTGAAATGAGTGCTTGTATTTCAGAAAAATTCTGGATCAGTGCTGGAAATCAGCTGCCAACTTTCATTAGCTGAATATAAATAATAAACCAGCAGGCACTTGGAACAGTACAACCCAACAGAAATTAAACTGTTGATTTCTGCCCTTCATTTTTCATATGTCATGTTAGGCTGGTACCTTTTATATTTGTATTTATTGCATCAGGTATTGATGGGCATTTTCAGAAGAAGTTTTGATGGAGTAATTTATTTTTTTTTTGCATTCTATTGGGTACTGAATTCATGTGGGTAGCTGAAGTTGTAGAGGAAAATTATTACTTCTAATTTTACCTACTGATTAAAAGTTCCCTGGTGCCCCAGCACACCAGACCCAGGCCCTGCCATTCCCAGCAGCTCTAAAAGAACTGTGAATATTTAAACATTGCAGTCGTTTGCAATATTAATAGCTAAGGAAAAGTTTCATTATAAAAAAATAATTGTCCTCCTTTTCTTACACCACTTTGAAGCTGTTCAGAGTGTTACAGCCTTAATTCTTTGGATAATTGTGTGTGTTGCATTTGAGCTTGTTTGTAAAAGTTTGGCCTTGCATTTCCAAACTGATCCCACAAACACAGGCTTTCTAAAAAGGTGGCAATTAGCATTATTTTTCAGACCCTGGTTCAAGGTGTGTGAGAATGTCCATGAGTCACAGCTCTACTTCAGTGTGATGCACCATGTTGCAGTGAAATGGTGAGCACACCCCAAGCAGACACAGTAGCTACTTGTGACAAGTGATATTCATCAGCCTGGCAAGAACTCTGTAATCACAGCAGGAACCTAATTTTCTCAGTGCCTAAAGCTCCAGCGAAGGCCATATAATTTGTGCAGCTTTGGGAAGTGAAAAAACTTTAACCATTTAAAAATAAGCTGTAAAAAGACTGTCTTCCATTTGTTGCATACTTGGTGGATTTTTGTGGAAACAACCACATTCCCTAATGAAAACACTGACTGGGGTATGGCAATTGCATTGACTCCTCTGCATTCTTACAAGGACAGCTGACAAAAATAAGGTTTCTATTTGAGATCAAGGAAGTGATCCACAGCTTCAGCTCCAGGACCAGGAAATAGCTGCAGCCCTCTATGACCAGCTGCTGCACACAAGTCAGCTGATCACAAGCCGAACAACCTAATTAGACTTGATGTAGATCCGATTTAGTGACTTTCTCTGTCACAGCCAACCTGTCTCTGAGCTCTTCAGAAAGTGTGAAATGTAAATCACTCTGATGATGCAAAGCACTGACCACTCTTGGGGTGCTTCAGGGCAGAAATGATCCTTCTGTCACTGCAAGTGGATCCCAGAGAACTCTGAAATCCACCCGTGTGGGTCACATCTGGAAACCCAACGGTGTTACGGGAAACAGCAGAACCCAGCTCTTCACCACCTTCAAGAGAAGGGTAGCAAAGTGCTTACTCTGAAAGAGTTCCAGTTCTAAGAGTGACCTCTACGTCTGCATTACAGCTCTGCTGTCGTCTCACTTCCTCCATCAGCTGGTTTTAACTGGACAGGACTGCATCAGAAATTTCAGACCCGGGCACTGTAGAAACGCTCCAAAGTGGAATTTACCAACCTATCTGCATTAAATTCCCTTTCCCCACGCATGACTACTTCTCCCAGATCTGCCCACGGGACCTGCCCTGCGCTCTCACAACCTGAACATCCTCTTTCTCCTTGAGCACCTGCACCCCGTGCAGCAGCAAAGGCACAGAATCACCTTTTCACAAGAAAAAAAAACAACCACCCCAGGGGCAGCACGGAAGAGCTCGGGGCCGCACGGCTGGGCAAGAATCAGACCCTGCAGCCCCCACTGCTATGCAGCAGGCACACCTAGGGCGTCGGGCACCGCCGCCAGCAGGACACCTGGGCATACCTGGACATATCTGGACACACCTGGACACATCTGGACACACCTGGGTGCACCTGTGCTCTGCCACCCGCAGCCCACGGGGCCAGGCCAGGCCAGACCGTGCCCCGCTGGGGCTCCCCACTGTGGCGGCGGCCCCGCTCGCCCCCACGCACCTTCCTCCCCGAAGGTGTCCCCGCCGTCCCCCGTTCGTGCGTCGGTCGGGGCCGCCGCCCACCCACGATCGTGCGCGCGCCCCGTTAGCCCCGCCATCCCGCCGCTGCCCGCGCCCGCGCCTCGCCGCCGCCGCACGGGCGCGCCCCCGCTGCGCGCGCTAGGGGCCCACGGCCAATGGGAGGCGTGGCGTCCGCGCGCGTGGGACGCCGCGCCGGCGCCGCGGTACAGCTCTGGTTAGCCGGCGCTGGGCGCGGGGCGGGAGGCGGGCCGCGGGCGGCGTGGAGAGCAGCGATGGGCAGCGGGATGGCCCAGGGGCGCAGCGCCGCGCCCCACGTTCCTCGGGGATTTCCCCCAAAAATCGCAGTCTCTTTGTCCCTCCCCCGATGTCTTCAGCCCTCCCCGGGTTTCCCCACTTAGAGGCCGCCGTCAGCACCCAGCATTTCTTTCCCAGGACGCTCTGGATCCCATAGAGATGGGAGATCCCAGGGATGCTCTATGGATAGACCTGCATCCTGCCCGTGCGGGACCATCCCGCGGGTACTGGGGCAGCAAAGCGACGGCTTTGCTGCTTCACCCTCTGAGCGGCTTGAACCACGCCCAGGTCACCTTCAGGTGCTCTTCCCTAAGGAACAAGCATAGTTCGCTTTGCCCTTCCCTGTCTTTGGCCCAGAATCAGCTGCACCTCAGTCGGCTTGAGATCTCATGGCTGCGTGGTGTTTTCATCCCCAGGAGAGATGTCACTGGGATGAAAATAACCTGCAATTAAAGGATTGATTCGAGCAGAGCTTCTGAGATCAAGGACTCTGTTATTAAGTGGGTATTTGGGACAAAGACAAAAGAAAAGGTCATGTTCTCATTTAACATCACAGCCACCTCTCCTTTCTGTGGGGTAACCCTGCTGCGCTGCTGAGTCGGGCCTGTGTCACACCCCAAGTAGGGGAATTGAATATTAGTGTAATTAATGGACATAACCACTGTTAATAAAACAGATGATGACTTTCCGGGGGTGTGCACTCACACTGTGCATGTGTGCCAGCCAGAAGCTGCAGCCCCACCAGGTAGGACGTGCTCCCAGAGAATCATAGCCTGGGTCAGGTTGGAAGGGACCACAGTGGGTCACTTGGTCCCACCTCCCTGCCCAAGCAGGGTCATCCCAGAGCACACAGCACAGGACACACAGGTCTGGAATATCTCCAGTGACAGAGGCTCCACACCCTCTCTGGTCCCTGTTCCAGTGCCCCGTCACTGCACAGTAAAATTTTTCCTCATATTCAGGTGGAACTTTCTGTGCATCGCTTTTTGCTTCTTGCCTTGTCCTTGTGGTTGGCACGGAGCAGAACCCTGTCCACCTTGTCGGTGCGCCTCTTTAGATATTTATACACATTAATGCGATCTCTTCTTAAGGCTGAACAGACACGACTCCCTCAGCCTTTCCATTAATTATTTTATTTTCACTTTAGGCTTTGGTGCATTATCAGATTTGATAACTGCGGGAGCACAGGGCCATGTGGGGTGTCCCGTGAGGGGTGTCCTCCTGTGGGGTGACCTATGTGTGGTGTCCCCGTGTGGTGTGTTCCCTCTGGGGTGTCCCCTCTGGGGTGTGCCCCTGTGGGGTCTCTTTGTGTGGGTTGTCCCTGTGTGGGGTATCCCGCGTGGGATGTCCTGTGTGGGATGTCCCTGTGTGGGGTGTCCCCGTGTGGGGTGTCCCTGTGTGGGGTATCCCGTGTGGGATGTCC